TGTGGGATATAAACCTAAAAGCAACAAATGAACAAGACAGACAAACAGAGACTTGTGGCCGTGGACTATAGTCTAGTGATTACCAGAGGGTAGTAGGTAGAGGAGGAGGGAGGGGGTAGACGGGGTAAAGGAGGTCAAATACGTGGCGACAGAAAGAAATCTAACTATGGGAGGTGAACACACAGTGTAAATATATATATGCCTTACTGTTAAAGTGTACAGCTGAAACTTATTAATTAGTTAATTTAATTAATTAGTTAATTTAAAAAATATTCAGCACAAATAATAACTAAGAGCTACTGTGGCTACATTAATATTAGACAAAATAGACTTTAATCAAAAAACGTTTCAAGAAAAAAAGGACATTAATAATAAAAGATACATACAACATGAGCATATAACAATTATAAACCTTTATGTATCTAATAATAGACCCTCAAAGTATATGAAGTAAAAAATCAACAGAATTGAAGGGAGAAATAGTGCTACAGTTGTATTTTGATATTTCAATACTCCACTTTCAATAATGAATAGAACAACCAGACAAAAGAGCAAGAAGGAAATAGATGATTTGAACAACACTATAAATCAATTAGATTTAACAGATGTATATAGAATATTCCACCCAACAACTGCACAATAAATACTATTCTCAAGCACTCATGAAACATTCTCCACATAGGCTACAAAATGAGTCCCAACAGATTTCCCTCCTAGGTAACCCCTGCTTTTATTTTTAAAAGAATAATATGTAGTTGAGCATTCAAACAAAATAGATACAGAATGAAAACATGATTCTCTCTCCTTGCTCCTCCAGACTTTAAACGGCATGTCAACAGTTCCTTGTATTTTCTTTCAGAGAAAACAAAATGTGTATAGTCTTTACTTGAGACTCTGTTTTGTATTTTTTGTCATTTAATAAGACAGCATCAAGATCTTCCCACAACACACTTGCAGATCTCTCTCATATATTTTAATGCCTTCAGAATATTCCATCATATGGTGGTACTATAATTGATTTAATATGGCCTCAATTGAGGGACACCATTTCCAATATTACTTGTTCATTTGTTTTTACTACAACCAGTGCTGGGACGGGTATAGTGAATATCCCCATACTTATTTATTGGGCAGCTTCTTAGAAATGAGATTTTTAGGTTAAATTAACTGTATGCTTCTGATTTTGATAAAAATCACCAAACTGTCCTCCCCCAATTGTACCACCTTACTTTCCCACCGGCAATACAGGAGAATGCTGCACATTCTCACCAGCAATGGGTTTTCATTTTTGTCAATTTCCTAGTTGAAAAGTGGTATTATTATTCTTTTCATGGTGACTGCTTTTTTTTTGGTAATTTTTTTCCAGCTTTATTGAAATATAATAGACAATTAGTTGCTCATATTTACATTGTACAATTCAATGATTTTTTTCAATTATAGTTGGCATACAATAATAGTTTTAGTTGTACAGCATAGTGATTAGAGCTCAAGTGATCACCCCACTAAATCTAGCACCCCTCTTCCTCCTTACATATTAATTACATTGTTGACTATGTTGATTATTTTCCTTATGCTACACATTATAGCGCTATGACTATTTTGTAACTATCCATTTGTACTTCTTAAACCCTTTGCCCTTTTTCACCATTTCCCCAACCCCTTCCCATTTAGTAGCCCTCAAAAAATTCTCTGTATCTATGAGTTTGTTTCCGTTTTTGTTGTTGTTGTTTGTTTTGTTCTTTGGATTTTGCATGTACGTGAAATCACGTATTTGTTTTTATCTGACTTATTTCATTTAGTGCAATACCCTCTAGGTCCACCAAAGCAATATCTTTTTCCATCCCCTTCCTTTTAGTCTGTGTGCCTTTTACTTTAAAGTGAGTCTCTTGTAGGCAGCATATGTGTATGAGTCTTGTTTCCTTATCCAATAGGCCACCCTTTGGTTTGAGCACTTAATTCTTTTCCATTTGAGGTACTTGTTGATAGGAATAGTTATTACCATTTTTTATTCATTATTTTGATACATGTTTTTTCTTCTTAAAGAAGTCCCTCCAACATTTTCTGTATTAGCGACTTGGTGTTGATAAATTCCTTTAGCTTATTTTTGTCTGGGAAGCTCTTTATCTGTCCTTCAACCCTAAATGATAGCTTTGCTAGATAAAGTATTCTTGGTAGATCCTGGGTTTTTATCACTTTGAACATTTTGTGCCAAGCCCTTCCATCCTACAAAGTTTCTTTTGAGAAATCAGCTGCCAGTCTTATGGGTGCTCCCTTGTAGGTAACTAACTGCTTTTCTCTTGCTGCTTTTAAGATTCTCTCTTTGTCTTCAACCTTTGGCATTTTAATTATGATATGCCTTGGTGTGGGCCTCTTTGGGTTCCTCTTTCTTGGGACTCTCCAAGCTTCCTGGGGTTGTATGTCAATTTCCTTCAATAGGTTAGGGAAGTTTTCTATCATTATTTCTTCAAATAGCTCAAGTTCTTGTTTCCCTTCAGGTACTCCTATGACCTGAATGTTTTTACATTTAATTTTGTCCCATAGGCTCCTTAAATTATTATCATAGTCTTGGCTTCTTCTTTTTTTTTTTTTTTTTTGCCATTCTGATTGGGTTTCCTTGGCTTTCCCATACTCTATATCGGTGGGTTGATCCTCTTTTTTATCCACTCTGTTGATTCCCTCTAATATACTCTTCATTTCAGATAATGTATTCTTCATTTCTGACTGGTTCCCTTTTATAATTTCCATTTCCATTTTGATGTTTTTCTCTCTTTGTTAAGGTTCTCACTGAGTTCATCTACACTTCTCCTAAGTTCACTGAGCATCTTTATAACCAGTGTTTTGAACTCTGCATCTGTTAGATTGCTTGACTCCATTATTCCTGGATCTCTGTTCTATTCTCTCATATGGTTTCTGCTTCTTTGTCTTCCTTTTTTGGCTGCCTTTCTGTGTCTGTTTCTATGTACTAAGCAAAGCTCCTCAGTCTCCTAATCTTATTAGCATGGCTTTTTGTAGTAGGTGTCCAGTGGCACAGTCCTGAGAGGGGTTCAGCTGCAGGCCAAGTTTAGCCCCAGCGTGTGCCCCTCCAGTTAAGATTCAGCAAGCAATCCACAGATGCTGTGCTTATAGTTGCCTCAAGAGGCTATGCCAGAAATTGAGGCTAGCTGCCACTAGTGTGGGTCTTGGGGCTGGCTCAGTAAGGAGCACAGGGTACGCTGAGGATACAATTAAATGGCTTAGGTGGGGCTGTGAGTTTGGGGAAGTGGATTTTCAGGAAGTCTTCTGTTATCCAGTTTGATGATGTCTCAGCTATGGCTGCACTGCATCTACACAATGGGGGCGGTGGGGGGTTGGGTCTGGGGGAGGGCTCAACAGAGGAACAATGGACAGTGCCAGCACTTCTGCCTGGGAGAAAGCCTTGCCTCCAGCCTTCATTCCAACAACTCAGTGTCCCCCTGTAAGTCCCTGGTGTCCCCCCACCCCCCGAGCAGCTGACCTGGCATCAGTGCTCAGAGCGAGGAAGTCTGTCACCAGAAGTCTGTTTGCAGACATGACCCTTTTAAGAGAAGTCTGTGGCTGCCAGCTGCTGCTGCCATAGCCTTTGTCCCACTCAGCCACTCAGGACAGGCAGCCTCGTGTCCTCGCCCCATCCTACCTCCTCCCGTTGCAGGGCGATTTCTTATTGTTCTCTCTAGTTGTAAAGCTTGTTCATCTAGACTCCAGGTGACTCTGCTTGCTGTTTGCTCCGTGTTTTCGTCAAAACTTTGATGTAGTTCCAAGAAACTAATATATTATTGTATGCCAACTATAATTTTAAAAACTAATTGAATTGTACAATGTAAGTATGAGCAACTGTCTATTATATTTCAATAAAGCTGGGAAAAAAGTCAATAAGCACATGAAAAGATGTTGAACATCACTTGTAATAAGGGAAGTGCAAATTAAAAACCATAATGAGATACCACATCGTACCTCCTAGGTTGGGTATAATTTAAAAAAAAAGAAAAAAAACAGAAACTAACAAGTGTTGGCAAGGATGTGGAGAAACTGGAACCCTCATGCACTGCTTGTGGGAATATAAAATGGTATAGCTGGTGCGGAAAATAGTTTGGCAGTTCTCAAAAGGTCAAATATAAACTACCATATGACTCAGCAATCCCACTCCTAGGTGTAAATCCAAAAAAATTGAAAGCTGAAACTCAAACAGATATGTGTACACCAATGTTCATAGCAGCATTATTCACAAAAGCCAAAAGGTGGAAACAACCATGGTGTCCATTAACAAATGAATGTATAAACAAAATGGGGCATATACATACAATGGAATATTCTGCTAAAAAAGGAATGAAAATTTGATACATGCTACAATAAAAATTAATCTTGATGACGCTAATGCTTAATGAAGTAGCCAGACAAATATTATATTTTCCCACTCATATGAGGTATCTTGAATAGGCGAATTCATAAAGACAGAAAGTAGAATAAAGGTTTCCAGGGGCTGGGGAGAGAAGATAAGAATGTATTGTTACTTAATGGGTACAGAATTTTCGTTGGTGATGACGAAAAGATTTTGGGTATAGATGGTGCTGACAATTACACACATTGTGAGTGTACTTAATGCCAGTGAGTCGTACACTTATAAATGGTTAAAATGATAAATATTGTGTTATGTCTATTTTTCCACAATTAAAATTTTAAAAATCATTGTCAACCTGCCCTTACCCTCTCTTCCACAGCAAAAAAGAGATGAGTAGATTAGCCAGGTAAAATGGGGAAAGGGGAGCAGTCACAGAGGGAGCTTACTAAATTCGCAGTGCTAAGTGTGGAGTCGGAATTTGAACTGTATGATAGTTCCTCCTCAGGGCATGAAGCCCAGTTTCCTGTGGAGACTTGCTGTCTTTCCAATGCAATCTGACCATGTCCAGTAGCTCAGGAGTGGGCTACTATCTCAGCAGAGGATGGACTGCACCCCTTCCCTACAGAAAACATGCCCCTGGGCTCACCTCAGTGACTTGAGAAGCAGCAAGTTCTCTGGCAAGCTCTTCTAAGGCCTCCCTATTCCGGCCACACAGCACCAGCTTGGCACCTGCAGCAAAGAAGACTCTGGCACATTCTAAAGGAAGAAGAGAGAACCTTGGCAGCTGAGGAAATTCAATGCCTTTCTTCCCAATATAGTTCAAACTTACCCAATGTCTCAGAATATGTATTGTTTCTCCATGCTCCCAACACGCATGTGTTAGCCCCAGTTGGGGACCAGGTATGGAGCTAGAAATTTGAGTCCAGTGATGAGCTCTGTCATTGCCTTAGAGAGCTCATGTTCAGTGGTGATAGATATCCACAAGGCAAGAAGAAGGCAGGGACTGATGGACAGATTTGTTAGGTACTATGCTTAGAACTTCCCATAACCGTCTTCAGCTCTGAACAACCCCGTGAGCATTATCCCCATTTTCACAACTAAGAAAGCTCAGCAAGGTCAAGTGATGTGCCCAATGATCAGGCAGCACCTGCTATTGTGATGCCTTGTTTGCTAAGGCCTATGTTCTAGCACAACCTAGGCTGTTTCCCAAGTCACCTGAATACAACAGGTACATATCTACCAAGGATACTTAAAATGGTTCTGTAGAAACACAGGGGACACAGGACTCTGTTGAGGAGGGCTGGGGAGGCCACCGGGGCTATTTTCCGGGGAGTGCTTGAGGCAGAAAGAGCAGAGTACACAGAGTGCCTGAGGGACCACAAACAGATACAGCTGGGGCAGAAAATGGAGAGTCTACCAGCCTTGCTAGTCTGGGAAATAAAACAACTGGATAGTAAAGAGTGCCTGTTGTAGGCATGCTGAGTGCCTATAACAGCAAAGAATTATAAAGGGCTGGCTGCATTTTAAAAGGCTCTCTACTGCTGGGTGGGTAGGAAGGGGATGGGAAAAGATCAGGCTCCACTGAGTCCACTAAAACGTTCAAGTGACAACGATGAGGACATCAACTAAGACAATGGTGAGGGAGAGTCCAGAACTATTTTGGGACCTCTATTAGTTAACATTCTTTTGTTGGCAAGAAAAGAGACTCAGCTTACACTGTGGCAAAGCAAAAAGAGGATTGATCAGGAGGATTCTGGGACAGCTCAAGAATTAAGAGAAAAAGCTGAATGGTCAGGACTTGGGAAGAACAGGAGTGGTGGCTGCGCAGGGCCTCTGGTAGGAGGAACCACACTCTCTCAATGCTAGCATGTTCTTTCTCCACTTCATTCCCCTAGCCTGGCTTCCACACAAGATAGAATGGGGCTACAGGCAGCTTTGGGCTCCCATCAGCACAATCCCAGTGCAGACAGGAGAGGAGACTTTGACTTGTTTCATCCACACTCTGGTATCAAAATCCCAGTGAGGGACCTCAGGTGTAATGGGGGCAGCATCATTAGGACTAGCCCAGCAAAGGTCCCACATAAATCTCCAGATGTCAAGGAGAAGGGGCAGGGAGGGGAGACCACCAGAACCTAGGGGCTAACCTAAAGGGGAGAGGGAAGAAGCAGAGGATGAGGTCCTCTTATTTCTTGCTTGCCTTGCCCCCAAACATGTTCAGTGCCCTGAAAATTTACAGCTTATGAAAACCAGTACAGCCTAGGGGTCAAGAGAATGGACTAGACTTCCTGTGTTCAACTCCAACTTGGGACACTTATGGTTCTGTGATACTGGGTAACTTATAACCTCTTTGTTTCTCACTTTCCTCTTATGTAAGATGTAGATAAAAATAGCACTGGAACTGAATGAGTTCAAGTAGATACAGTAGTTGATACAAAGTACTATATAGAGAAGTATTACAAAAGTGTTGTTTTTTTATTTCTAAGCTGCCTTTTTTAAATGTTCTAAAAACTGACTGTTGGTAAAAACTGAAATGCAAGGGCTTAAAGAAGCACTGCCTATCTTCCAGACTTCCTCAAATGCTCACGAGCAGGTCTGCACAGAGCCCTCAGCCTTAGCTGACAGAATCTTAGAGGCTAAGGCAGTTAAGTGGTGTATTAGTGCCCCCTTGGCTCACAGAAGGGACAGGCCTGCCTCAGGAGCAGCTTGGGGAGAGGTGAAGAATCAAGGTTGTCACTTCCTCTTCAGGTAGGGAGGAGGTAGTAGAGTCTAGGAAGGGTGTACTGGTCTGACAGCCCCTCTCTTACAAAAGTGTCAAAACTCTTTAAAGCTAGAAGGGTTCAAAACATGAGAGGATAAGAAATTCCAGCATCCTCCAGGAAAGGCAAGTTTTTTGACATCTGGATTGTCTTATGATGCAAAGCCTTCTCTTTTTACTCTATAGTGCTTTCTTTAGCTTCTCTTACAGCTTTTACTTTGCCATCCCCAGGCCAGCACCTCCCTGCACATGGATGGCGTTTTCTGGTAGGAGGTGTTAAGTGTACTACATCAATACATTTTCAGGTGTGCTGTATACCCTTCTTGGAAGATCTGGTTGGTTTGTTCACTAGCTTATCTGGACAAAGGGCACAGACCCAGAGAGAGCTGCAGCCCCTGCTCTGCCTGTCCCTGGGTAGTCTGATTGGAGTCACATCCATTACCCTGCCTGCCCTTCTCAACTGAGCAGCAAAGGCCTCAGGGACAGGGAGGTGGCAGAGGATGGGATGGTTGCTTTCAAAGCTAGATGCCAGCATTCCTGAAGCTAGAACTGCTCATCTGCTTTACCAAATAATTCCCAAAGATTAGAAACTTCCAGCCCTCTTGGCTTCCTCACGACATTCCATCCTGTCTCAACCAATACAATGGATATTTTGTGAGGTACCAATGAAGGGTACGGACACGCTGAACCAAAGGCAGTATGGTGTATAAACAGCTTCTGGATATAGTCACCTATATTCTGCTTAAGCTTTGCTTCCTAGCAGAGCCAAAAAGGGAGGAAATGAAAGTTTGTATAGGGAGTGACAGAAATGAAAACAAGAGATTGGAAAAATTGCATTTTCATTTCTTAAAAAAGCTGATACGGGGAGGCAGAAGGGTCAAGTGAAAAAGGAAAACAGTCCTAAGGTACCATTTATCTAGAATTTCTGGATGACTCTCCAGTGCTGCCACACTCCTGGCTTGTAAATCAAGAGCATTCTTCATGACTTCAGGGCTTAGGCTGGCTAAAGTGAGCACCCAGAACATTCTGTTCCTTTAGTCAATGGTGCTACTGTTTTACAAGGACAAGCTCATGTAACTTAAATATACAAAATTGGAGACAAAATAGGAGAAATACAGAAAGTTGTCTGAAGACATCTTCAGACATAACTCAAACCTCCCAAGTGGCTAACAGTGGGCAGAGCCACCAAGGTTAAGGCAGGGTCGGTCTTCCTTCTCACAGACACTAAGGAGCAGCAGTACATCTTTGGCAGTCACTAACAGTGGGTGTTTGTACTTGAAATGGCCAGTCAACAATCTGCTCCTATTTTATCTGGCTGGAGGGGAAAAAGATCTATGGAGTCCTATCCCTAAGATGTTAAATAGGGCAGAATATAAGCAGAGCGATTTGGAAGTCAGAAAACAGTTGACATAATATTATATGTGCAAGTTTGTTTTTTTTTTAAATTATATTTTCTATTCCCTTCACAGTCTTGGTGTCTGGAAGAAGAAATGTAGAATGATAGAGAACAATATCCTTCTCAAATGTCTATATACCTAACCACCTGTAACCCACACCTTTCCATTTTAGCCAACTCTCAAATACTCCTCAAAGACTTTTTAAAAAATGCTTCTCTCTGAGATTGAGAAGCAGCTGCTGACTACTCTATATATAGTAACTGAGTAAGGACAGAGGACAAACTATGGCAAAGGGCCTGGAGGCAGCTGTCCCCATTAACGTCTGGATATCTAAGGACAGACCCAGGGTTCACTTCCCAGAGATCTCACCTAAACATTAGAGTGGCATACACATGAATCCATGCTACCTAAAACCTTCCCAAGTTCTCCTTGGCCAACTGCAAGCCACTTACCCTGCAGACAAGGCCCCATCTGCTCCTTTGTGTTCCTGCAACACCCAAGTGCTTACCAGCACCTGCACAACTGTGCTGCTCCCAGCTTTGGGTTCAACTGCAATGCCCTCCCTGCTAGCCCACCATTCCTTTCCCCTGGCCATCTCCCCCTTAGGTGAGACAAGACTAAGTCCTGGAGTCAAAGAGATATGGGTTTGAAACTTGGCTTTACGGTTTCTGGCTAAAGTCCTAGGGCAAGTCATACCTTCTCTGAATCTTAGCTGTAAGGATAAAGTAACATAAAGCACAAGCCAGTGCATATAAATGTGCCTTCCCTCTACCAGGCCTGATTGGGAACATCTATTACCGAAATGGCAATATACTGAGATAAGTCCTTGCCTCTTTCCATCAGACCATGAACTCTTTGTGGGATAGGACCCTGTCTTTCATCTGCTTGTCCTAGCATTTGGCTCAGAGCCTTGCATATGGGAGATGCTCCATCAGTGATAGCTGCACTGTCACCAACCAAAAGATGCAGCAATGGTTGGTTTACCATAATTCAGGGCTCCTCTCAGCCTTCTTCCATGAAATTGAGCTCAAGTGTGGATAATGTACTGGTGTGGTGTGGTGCGTGTGCAGATGCTGAGAAAGAGGGCAGAAGGTTCCATGCCACATGCCTGCATTTGCCCTTTGCACACTCTGCTATAAGAGAAGAAAACTCCTCTTCTTCCCTTCTAGGTTCAATGGCTGGACTAATAATTAAATTGATGTAAGACAGATTAACAGGAGAAAAAATTTTAATTTTGTACATATAGGAGCCCCCAAAATATGAAGCTCTGAGAAGTAACCAAAATAGGCAGCTTTTATACCTTTTAGAAGAAACAATAACTCTGTGAAGAATTGACAAGACAAAGGGTTTGGGCTTTGGGTAGTAAATTAGTGAAGAAGTAACACCGTTTGTACAGTCTTCTCAGCTTCTATTCCCTCTCTCTGATAAGGATGCTTTCTACCTCCTGGTATGGGGACGGCCTTTTACATAGAAGAATTATTTCCTGCTTTCAGGAGAACAAAGAAGGGTCAGAATGTCCTTCCTGCACTTGCTGTTTCTTAAGTAACTTTAATTCAAAACAATCACTATGCCAAAGCAGCATATTTGGGGATGACATATATCACTCCTCTTCACTGCCAAAGTCAATATACATGTTTGAAAGGGAAATAATGGCAGCTCTACAAACTCATTTGTATTGTGGGTGAGGGATGACTGACTCCAGACCTATGTCCCAGCATATAATTCCTGGGACCTAGAAGCCCATTGCATTCACCAAATTACCATGGAATTAAATTGGAGAACTTGGTTAGCTGAGGCATCACCTATTCCGTTTCCGCCCCTGCCAAAGCTGTGCCCAGGGTACAGCTGGAGGCATGGCTCAGTGAGGGGAAAGTGTGGAGAAGGTGACACCAAGGCCATAAATCAGGGATGCTGGCTGAATCCAGGAAAAGATTAGCTTTGTTTGGCCCTCACAAAGGTAATTAGTTGTCCATATTTGAAAATTGGGAGGCTTCACATAAAAATCGCTATTTCAACAACTAGCTGGAGCTGAGTAAGGCTGCCCCCTCAGATGGGACATATGGTCTCTAGTTTGCCACGTTCTTCTTCACTGGCCTTTGCCTCCCAACACTGATGCTGAAAGTCAGGGGCCATGTCTCATTGCACTTAATGCACTTAAGCTCTTGTTTCTTCCAGCTGGACCAAGGACAGTGACATATTCTTATTCCCAAGTCACCCAGCCTGCTTCACTTATTTGCACCTGTGCTGGTGGTCCCTGTACATTTAAGCTGCTCCTCAAGCCTGGGGCCAACTTTCCTACCTCCCCCTGACAGCACTGCCTCCAGGACTCACCTCGCCCCAGTCCTGAAGTAGCACCTGTAATGATCACCACGGCATTCCGGAGGTAGGCCTTCATGCGCATGTGCTGCAGCAGCTTGAAGAGACTGAAGATTCCCACACAGCCAAACAGCAGGGGCAGGATGGCTGTAGAGGTGATAAAATCCATGACCCTCACCTTCAGCAGACTCTTTCTAGGAGAACCAAAATCAAATAATTAGTGACAAAATGGGAGAACTCAAGAAAGTTACCAACCCTCTTCCTCCTAGTCTGACACAGATCTCAGATGTCTCTTGTGTGGACTATAGCTCTGAGCCAAGCAAGTCTCTTTCCAGGCACTGTGTATTATACTGATATTCAGCATTATGGAACTTGTTTTCCCTCACTCTGTACTGACATGAGCAGACAGGGAAGGAACAGACTTCACAATGCTTCTCAGAGGTATGCCATGAGCCAGGACAAGCTGAGATGGTCATTTAGCTTAGGAACCAGTTATCTGGTAAGTGTTACAGGAGACACTAGCATATTGGTACTCACCTTATTCTCCTTCAGAAACCTGTTTTGAGGGACTTAAGCAATACCCATTATCATTTTCAATTCCTAGGTATTCATGAAACTATAAAGTTTAAAAAATAAATAAATAAAAGGAAAAAGAAAACAATACCAATCCTATACTTCTCCCTGAGCAGATGGATGTTTCTGAGTGGGGTATTCCCTAGATAGGACCCGTGATGGCCCACAAATGTACTCCTGATCATAGGCCTCATGGATACCCGAAGAGAATTCAACACAATGGAGCTGCCCTTTGCCAAGTATGGGCACTGACACAGGCTGTTAAGTGGGTCACCCTGTAGTCCACTAAAGCATGTTCTCACTTAGCATTCACTGGTGAGCTATAGTCAGCCAGATGAAACCAAGAGGCCACATAAGTGTTTATGCAACAGTGTGCAGTCAATTCTTAGGAAACATATCCACTTCTTCTACAACTGTCTCTAACTTCCTTACTCCTCCAAGCCTCCCTCATTCCTCTTCATTCACATATATCCCTATGCTTAAAGCAACAGCTAACAGAGGAGACACAGGCTTAAAGGTCAAGGGTGAGCTAGTGAGGAGCAACAATGTCTGTCACTTTGAAAGAAACGTCTATAAGGTCACTTTACAGGTGGGCTTAAGTCTATTACACAAAGGTCTACACACCGTCCACCTTCGGGTATTATGAGCACAGTAAATCCTCTTCAGGAAAGAAGAGGTTGGAAACCAAGAGCGGAGTTCCTGCAAAACAGCCTGAAGCTTCTAATTATTCAACAGATTAGGAGTAACTATGTAAAACCCTCACCCACTTACTAAATGTCCTAAACTCCATATACTTAAAAAAACATTTTTGCTTCTTTTCCCATGACAACAACAACTCTGTGAACACCATGAAGCCAGAACCTGCTGAATCCCACTATGGATCCACCTACCTCCTGAGTTGCTTTGATCCTAAAGTTTAGGTTCAGGCTGGGCTGTGCTGATCAAAACTAAACTGTTCCAAGACAAAAGTGTTCTGCTTTGATTTGAACTGTCAGCTCAACTAGTTTAATATTTAGTTTAATTTTTTACCTGCCTTTCCTATTTCACCATAAAAAAATCAACAATATTCTCGGACAAACATCTGTGAAAATGACTTACTCAACCTCCACTCAATCTACTTCTGAAAAACCCTCAGCTACGTCTGCTAAGTGTATACATTTCCCTCTCACCCTGCATTGTGCCAAGCATACAGTAGGATGAACTGATAAAGTGGTTTCTAAAATATCAAGTTCTTTACCAAGGTACTAATGGCACCATCCCTTGCCCCCAACAGGAAGCTCAGGCCAGCAGTTCTGTCCTACAAGCCAGGCAGAATCCCAGGGTCTAGATGCTAGGACCCAAGGATCCTTTGTCTGGTACCTCGGAAGTACTCAAAAATTTGGTTTAGAGCAGGCATCAGCACCTCTACCTGTCTGTGGGACTGTGCGTGCTGCCTGGGGGCTATCATAGGGCCTGAGCCCCTGAAGAATGGCAGGGTGTGCAGATGTTTTCTGGGGGCAGGAGGAGTGACTACTGGGGGGCAGGAATAATTGCCAGTTCGTTGGGTGTAGCTTTACCTGAAAGTTATAGCAATTAACAGAAAACGCAGGTAGGCCCCAAGGTAATTATACCTCAAAACTTTTATGTAATAAACTTGGGCTGGGGAGGGCAGGATTTCCATCCAACAGTATGGTTATTTGGGAAGAGCTTTTTTCCCTACTGAAATCCCAGATCTTTATACTAGGCAGGTCTGAAAGTGGACTACCCTGCCCAATCCAGAACCACTTGGAGGCCAGCTGCTGCCTAGGATGACCATGGGGGTGGGTACGCTACTCATAAAAATACAGCAGGGCTCAGCCTCTGGGCTGGGGCCCAGAGCTCTATTAGGTCAGTTGGGTGGAAAGGATTGCAGTCATCTAGACCAGAGGCCTGCGGAGTCTGCCCATTTCAGACTTATAACCTTGGGCTGAGCCAGAACTCCACAGAAGGCTATGCCCATCTGCTTTATTTTCGTATATCAAGACTATGGTGCAATACACCTAAGTTAAGAGTGTAAAGGAAGAAAGTCCCTTCACAGGAGAGTGTTACTGGGGCCTTGGCAGCCAGAAAGTTCATCGGTTCTCACTGTGACTTCAGAATTTAGCTGCTCCCTTATTTTCCACTGAGAGGTTCTTTAAACGGGCTTTCAGAACCTCAAAATAGAAACAAGACTAGCACCCAGAAATCAATTGAGCAGAAATGTCACCTTTTATGCCATCTATTCCATTCTTCATCCTTTAGTCAAAATTCTACATTACATTTCACAGATAAAATCTGTTCCTAAGATTCCTTTCTTCTGTCTTGCAATTATAAAACAACAACAAACTGCACCGTCGATAAAAACAAATTGTCAGAATCTACTTAGAAACTATACGGAAATTAAACCACTGACAACCACATCTGAAAATCAAAGGAGGGTATCTAAAAACCCTCCAAAGTTAAAAACTAATAATGATTTCAGGTCTATAAGAAGGATTAGTCATGAAATAATTTGCCATGTTATGAACAAGAAAATCAGGCCAAAGGGCAGAGAAGGTGTCCAGCTGGAAGGCAGGATGCTGAAATCACGCGGCAAGGAATGGCTTAGTATTACCAAGAGCAGTTAGGATTCTATTCCCACACACCTACACCCACTCATATTTCACAATTAATGACCAGGTTGAAATAGCTGGTCTATTAAAGGTGACATAAGCTATGGGTCATGCCTATACCTATTTTCAGAAAGTAAAAGCAGAGTAAAGTTGTTGTTGTTGTTGTTGTTGTTGTTGTTGTTGTTGTTGTTGTTGTTGTTGTTGTTGTTGTTGTTGTTGTTGTTGTTGTTGTTGTTGTTTGATATAAAGCACATGAAAAGCAGCTGTTAAGGCTGTCTTCAACTGGAAAGAAAGAACAATAGACTACCTTAGATGGCAACTATTGTGCCAGTAGTGGGTCCTGGTGCCAGCGTCTTCTCTGGTCTTTTGACATAGGGTGAGTGACTTAGACTAGAGGCCAGAGGATACTTTCATGTCAACAGGCCTTTCCTGGAATGCTGGAATAAGCCACAAACAAGTAACCTGTAGGTTGCATTTTAAGTTGCCAGCCTTAGAGACCCCAGTTTAAAGGAATAGAGCCTGTCATTAGTAAAAATAAAACCAAAAGGAAAGCTGGAGACTATTTCAGACAAAGCTCCTGAATGTCCAGTCCTGGGAAGAGCAATCACACTGAGGTGAGTGCTACTCTCCAGTAAGATGCTAAGCACACACTGCACAGCAGCCCCAGGCAAGGAGAATGGGAAGAGAGGGGTCAAGCACAGCGCCAGACCCTGCAGTGCAGGCTATCAACACAAGTACAGGGTGCTGGAGGCTAACCGTTTATTATGAGCTTAAGTTTTAGTTGAGTTTTTAAAAATAGCACTTACAAATGGAAACCAGAAGACTCCTCAAAACAAAACAGCACTTATGATGGCAACGAAGATACCCTGACTCAAAATTTTGAGTTTTATAATGTGCTTTATAAAATGAATTTAGTTTTATTAGATGATGTCAGAGTGATATCACCCCCTTTCCTAGAAAACATATAAGAGGTCCATGATCCTGGACAGAAAATGGACAGAGCAGAAAAAGCACCAAGCTGGCACTGGGGAGCTGTGTTCAAGTCCACCCTGTCATGCACTTGCTGTGTGACATGGCAAATTTACTCTATATCTGCAATTAAGTGTCCTAATTTCAAAATGGGGATGACTATTCCAATGAGAAAACATATGGGAAAGCCCTTTGTAAATGCTAACATCTTAACAAATGTGCTGCTGACTCATAAAAACGACTGAATAAAAGCCAAGTCCCAGAGAAGATTTCAGAAATGAACTAAGTAATGGGAGCTAAGCTGGCAGCTTTAAGAGCTATTCATGTTTTAAGTACGTTTGGTAAAAAGACCAAACTTATTACTTTATATCCACATCTCATATACTGTGGATCATTTCAGGTCCTGGCTGTCACTTGCTGTTCCATTCGACTACTTACCAAGTGCCATCTAGTACCAGACAATGCACTAGGACTGGGGTGTAAGGTGAATGAACAAAGTAGACAATGGTTTTTGACCTCACAGAGTTCACAGCCTAGATGGGGAGACTGATAATAAATAAACACAAAATTAAGTGATAATAATTGTGATAATGAAAAAAAAATTATTGTAAAACCACAGACTGGTGGCTTATCTAAAGGACAGGCCTCGCCTGAAGCTTTATTTCAAAGACAAAACAATTCAAAACACTATGCGGGCCACACGACACACAACCTGGCCCAGGGGCAGCTGCTAGTTTGTGACTCCTGAATTTTAGATTATTACCGAGTTTCTAATAGGAACTGTACACAAGTATCAGTTTCAGAAACCTAAGAACAAAACAAACTATGCATCAATTGTTCCAGGTTCTGAGGTGCAGTAAAAATAGAGGAAATAAATCACTATCCTCATGGAAATGACATAACAGTGGGAGAGACAAAAAATAAAAAATAGATAAATAAATTGTACATTAGAAGGATTCTAAGAAGATGGTGGAGTAGGAAGCACTAGGAATCTATCTCTCCACCTAGACAACGATTGCACTGGCAGATTTGTCTGATACAAC